GTTATGGATCATTGGGTTTGGGTTTAGGGTCAGGTTCAGTGGGGCTCATGTCGTTATGGTCTATTGGTGATGGAGAAAGGCGGATAACCATCATACATCGGACATAATCTGTTTACGGCATGTGTTAGCAGGAACCTGTGATTCAGGACTACTGTAACTGAATGTGTACATTTGAGCATCACTTGATGCTACGATGTTCTCCCGATCGATTGGTTGAGGTCAATAGCAGTTTGTCTCTTGCAGTTCTGTCTGCTGTTCCTCTGTTTGCTGAATTGTTCTTTGTTCTGTCTCTTTCACTTCCCACTCAGATCCAGAACTTAAAGTATTAAGTCTTAATGTTTATAGTCAGCGGCTGCCTGCTAACGTAGCTGCTTGCCGTTGGCATAGCATTAGCTGCTGTGAAAGCAGCTAATGTCCTAAATGGTGGAAGTGTTTGTGCTTCTTGTTCAGTTTTTGCAGGTTGTATCGCTGCAGAGAGACAAGTCTGAATTTGAACAGAGTTAAAGTTAATGTAACTGCAGAGACATGTTCTGGTGCTACAGCTAGCATTGGCATAGCTCTCGCCTAGCGCTGTCAACACAGCGGATTTCAGCTGGATGCTTGTGTAATACTTTGGTGTTTGTCAAACCTTCAGCAGTTTCTGCTGCCTCACCTTCCAAAGACATCTGTAATAATTCAGAGCTTCTCTGCCTGGCTAATATGTTCATGCTGTGTAAGCAATAGTCGTGATTCGCTGCTCCTCATGACATGTAACAGCCAATCAGATGGAGCTGTAGGCGGTTGGAGGTTTTTTTTAACTCCTGTGTTTGGTGAGTTTGTCAGATGATGTCATAAAATCAGCATTTTAGGTGAAGTGATGCTTGTTAACGTGTCTAACCATTTTGTCCTGGTTCTGCTGCCTGACAACAGAAGCACCTGCAGATGAGAGCTGCTGATTGTGACTTCAGCAGCTCCACAATGCAGTTGATGTGCACAGAGAGCAGAAGAGTATCGTAACTGCTACATGACAGCATGTGCATCAACTTCATGTATGACCAGGTTCAATAGGCACCACCTGGTGGCACAGCCGGGTGCTGCATCACAATGACGGTTCCTCGTTATTACCGCTAAATATGTCACATCTTTAGTCCACAAGATAGTGTAGGGTAAGGACCAGTCAGAAGATGATGGAGTTTCCAGGTCTCTCATGCTGTTTGTGTTTGTTGTGTTTCCAGGTTTGGACCTTATGGTATTCCCATCACAGTGTTTCCCCGACGGGACGACAGGAGTCGACCTCTGATGTCACTGCAATCACAGTCGGTTGCCAACGACGACCCATCCACCAAACAGGAAGAGGTCACTGCCAGTTCTTCGTCCCCGCCTCCGACTCACCCATGGACCTCCAAACCGCCGCCGCTGTTCCAGGAAGGGGCGCCGTACCCCCCTCCTCTGTTCATCAGGGACACTTACAACCAGGCCTTACCTCAGCCGCCGCCGCGCAAAATCAAACGGCCTAAGCGCCGTTATCGCTGCGAGGAGCCCACCTCCATCATGAATGCCATCAAGCTCCGTCCACGCCAGGTGCTCTGTGACAAGTGTAAAGGTGTGGTGGCGACAAGTGGGCACAGGGAGGCGCGACGGGGACCGGTGGACCTGAGGTGTGAGGAGGTGTCGCGACGGCGGAGGGCGGCAGAGAGACCGATCTCCTCCGAGGTCAAACGACTAAGGAGTGACGACAAGGGAGGCCGAACTGCCGCCGACAGACGCTCGTCATCAGGGATACGTGTGTCATCTTCATCATCATCTTCCTCCCGCCGTGTTCTGAGAGGCGTGGCTTCATCCTCATCCTCGTCGTCAGCTGCGTCTGGCCGCATGCACCTGAAGCTGAACTCTAAGAAGGTTCTTGCCAAAAGTTCTTCTGTCGATCACTCCAAAGCACGACAGGTTCTCAAGAAGTTGGCGAGGGGCTCACAGGCGCCACCACATCACCGGGCCAATGATCAGAATCAGGGCCAGGACCGCACCAAGGCTGTGACCCGAGCAGCCGCCCTGCAGAACCACAGCCAGAAGGTCCACTTCACTCGCCGCCTGCAGCACTTGAGCGGGGCTACTATGGGCTCCAGCTCTCACACGGCGCTCCCGCCTCGAATGCGTCTTAAACCCCAAAGGTATCGTACAGATGACAGCCAGGGACCATGCTCCTCCTCCTCCTCCTCCTCCTCCTCCTCCCCACCCAAACAGAGTGCTCGGTCTTCACCACCCAAACCTGCACAGTACCCTGCGACCATGCAGAGCCTGGCCCTGCCCAGTGCCCCACCTCCACCTGTAACCACAGCTCCTCCCCCAAAGCCCCCGTCCTCCTGTGCAGTCAGCGTTGTCTTGGAGATGCAGGAGGTCCCCCCCTCTGAAGGGGAAGGGGCAGATCAGGGAGAGGGGGGGGGAGGGGAGGGGCAGGAGGTGGAGCCTCCTCCCCCCCCCTCTTCCTCCTCCTCACTGGACTCCTCCCACTCAGAGTGCAGCTCCACAGAGACCTTTGACCTCCCCCCCCCAGGAGACCCCCCCTCCTCCTTTTCACCTCGGCGCCCCTCCTCCCCACCTCCTCACCCCACACCTGATGGCGAGGAGGTGCATGGTGGCGGCGAGGAGGAGGAGGAGGAGGGCTGTGATCCAAAGAGGCGTCGTAAATCTTCCACGTCGTCGTCTTCCTCCTCGTCTTCGTCGTCGTCATCCGTCTTCTCGAAGTCGGTGTCCAAGTGTCCATTGCCCGACGGCCGCACCGTGTGCGTTGGCGACATTGTCTGGGCCAAGATCTACGGCTTCCCCTGGTGGCCGGCGCGCGTGCTCGGCATCACGGTGTCGCGGCGTGGCGATACGGGGCTGGCGGTGCGGCAGGAGGCAAGAGTGTCGTGGTTCGGCTCGCCAACCACATCCTTCCTGCCGCTTTCCCAGCTGTCGCCCTTCCTGGAAACCTTTCAGTCGCGCTTCGACCGGAAGAGGAAGGGGCCGTACCGCCGCGCCATCGCCGAGGCTGCCAGCGCCGCCAAACAGTTGACGCCTGAAGTTCGTGCGCTGCTCACTCAGTTTGAGACGTAGTATTGGCTACCCCCGCCTCCTGCCATGCCCCCACCACACCTGCCCCACCCTGTATGGAAGGTGGGAGGAGCCAACTCCCTGACTGATCTGTCAGTCAGACTGACGCAGACGTACGGACGATGTTTTTGTTTCCTACCTAGACGGAGGGGGAGGGGCTTTTGGGTGTCAGGGCGGGCCTTATTGCTGCAGTTTCCTCCCCATGTCTTCACAGATGTCCTCAATTTTAGCAGGTGTCTGACAGCGTTTCAACTCGCCATCGTCGCTATCGCTCGGCTGTTAGTGGGATGATGTCATAGCGATGTCATCAGTCAGTTACGGATTGTCCTGGTGCATCATGGTAAATGTAGCATCCATTCATGCATTCATCTCCTTATTGTTTGGTCACTGGAGATCTGCTGAACGCAGCCTGCTGATTGGCTGACAGAGCTGTATCATGATGATGTCATAATGTTTAAAAGTAAACACTACGATCTAAGTGCTGAAGCTAAGCGAACAGCTGCTAAGCTAGGCTCAGCTGCTCTGACGTGCAGAGGTGACTGGTCGTGATTGATTGATTATTCATGCCATTGATGACTGATTGGAATGATCGGTCAAAATGTTTTGTTTGTTCCTGAATCCGCAATTTTTGTTGCGACGTGTCAAGCGTTTGGACTCGGCGATGTGAAACGCTGTAACGTGCTGATTTCACGTCCTGAGGACCGCCCACAGACTGAAAACAGGAAGTACATCAGATTATAACTGTGAAGCATTAACTGTTGTCCAAACTGAGGTCCGGGCCCTTAAAAACGTCACATCTGCTGACTTTGTCACGTACCCTGTTCAGACTCTGGCAGCAGAACGTGGTCATCAGTACGGCAGCTGTGATGTCACTGTTCTCTGATTGGCTCAGAAATTGGAAGCTCATATAATGTTTTGATTGGACGCTCAGACCTCCGACAGAAAGCTCTGACCCTGTTGTGTGGGACGACGTCTCACTGGGTCTGACTCTGTGGACGGACTGGGGACAGGTAGGACACACTGACTGCTCTGCTCCCTGACCAGGAGGAGGATGGAGGTGGAGTTTCCTCTCTGCTGTTTGTTCTTTCAGACTCTTTTTACCGTCTGTTTGCAGATCAGAGATTCTGAACGAAAACCTGTTTGGACGAACAGAAACAGTCGACCTATGTATATGTTTTTTCTCCTGTTTTAAATCTATTAATAAACTGTTAAACTTGTCTTTGAATCGTCGTCGTCGTCGTCATTTGAACCTGTCACTCTTCTTCTGTGGTGGTTTTACTGTAGGAGTCCCGCCGGTGCCTTGCTCAGCGGCACACTCTCAGCAGACCTCAGATTTTCTCACCTGCAAACAGATGATTGGTAAACGGGTCTCCAGAGCTGCTTTCACCTGAAACTTCAGCAACATCCAGAATATTCCATGTCTTCACTTCTGTTCAGAACTCCATGGAGAATTTTCAAGATTTTAGACTCAAACCTGCAACAACAGATGTGATCTGTTGCTGAGTTCAGGTAAAAACACCTCTGGCCACCAGAGTGGGAAAGTGTCAGTGGGTACTGGATAAATCCTGGAATACATAACTAGGGGTTGAATAAATCCTAGTGTGTTATGGGTACTGGATAAATCCTGGTGTGTGTGACTAGATACTGGATGAATCCTGTGAAGATGATTTAGTAACACTGGGTACTGACTAATGACTGAGCAACATCAGAGCAATTTTAGAGTAAATTCTGGAGAACTTTCAGCAGCTGTGGGCTCAGGTTAAAGGCTGTCCTGTCTTGTCATAGGAACGAGTCCTCAAACACAAACCTCGGCACTCGGAATGTATTGATCGGCTGACGAGGACGTTTCCATTAAACTTTGGATATTTGATAAACGAGGTTTGATGAGAACCTGCAGCTGATCAAATACCTAAAATAATGTCATTTCCAAAATGGAAGTGTGAGCATTAAAAGAGCAGCTCGATATGAACGCTGGAGTCAGTGAATCTGTCATTGATCTGCCTGATTGATCAGAGAACATTCGGTCTGTAAACTTCATCATAATGTTTGTGTAGATTATTGATGACTGCAGGCTGCTCATCAGTTTGCTGTCCGCTAAACAAAAACATATTCAAACCATAAACAGGTTCAGATGGAGACGGATGTTTCGGATATGACAACCAATCGAAGGCACCTCCTTCTCTGATGATGTCATCACTGACACCTGTGTCTCAGGTGGTGTTGGCGAGTCGGAGCAGCTTTGGTTCCTGTCGAAACACCTGGCAGCTGTTGGTTTTAGTTTCAAAACAACGTTATTGATAAATGATCGGCTGATTATTTTAGTCAGAAAGAATCAAACTGAAGTCCATTAACTTTTCTACAGATCTTAAATGTGGACTGTTGAACCAGGGTTTACCTGTCTGAAGGTGTGAACAGCTGACTGTGACTTTCTCTAATGTTCCAGGTTAATAGAGATTGATTGATTGATTGATTGATTGATCCTCTTGGTGTTTTCACGACGTGTAAACGATGCGTTCTCTTTCTCTTTCTGCAGCACGACATTGAAGAGCTGTTGACACTGAGAATCCTGCGCTTTGATTGGCTGAGAGGCTGTGACCAATCACATGGACACAAAGATCCACTATCGATTATTATTTAAGAGTTTATATTTACAAAGAGAACGAAGTGTATTGATCAGTTGACTGAGGGTTTCCTTGGTTACCAGAGCAATGACAACATACATTAGATTCTGCGTTATCCAATCAGCAATCAGATTATCAAGCAATTAACCAGTCAGCTCCTAGTTTACCTTCGTAGCATGAAAACCGGAGTGACGTCACTCACCTGCCGACCTACAGGAGTCCATTTTACAGACTGTGTTGCTGCACCTGAATGCACCGTCTCCATCCCGTCACCAGGACCAAGACCCGTTAGGGTTGCTCAACACAAACCTTATCTCATTTCACTAATTGCACGTCCTCGACTCGTCAAGTCTTTGTCCCTCTTGGTAGAGTCGAGCAGAGGAGACACGAGGGTAAACGGATCTTTAACAGACTGAGACCTCCTCAGCTCAGAGCATCATTTTAACGTGATTGAATATGACGCCGCCGTCCTTCGTTTTATCAAAACCTACAGCTGTGATTTATGATTCTTGTCAGATTAACAGAACAGTGTTCATGATAAGTTACAGTTAAAGGATTTAAGTCATTCTCAAAATGGTAAAGTGTGATGAGAATAGACAGATGGCATACCTTTTTATTTTTCTATTTAGCACATGCACTGTGAAATATAAAATAGTCATGGCACACAAAATAGTCCCATGAAAACATACAGCGACATATATTCATATTGAGTCATATATATCATATTCAAATGTGTCTGTCCTGCTGCCGACATGCTTTGTGTGTTCCAGGTATGTCTCCTTTTTATGTTATGGGAGCAGAATAGACTTCATCCAGGACACACCTGGATATACCTGTGCATCTCCGCTCAGAGCTCTTCACACATCCTCCTCCATCCTCCATCCTCAAAGTGCAATTTAGAAATTGAGATTTCTTTTGTTAAGATGCACCAGGACTAGTCTCCTGGTCACGGGCCAGGTAATCGAGGAGTTGAGGATTCTGAATTAGGGAAATAAGATGGAGGCAGGTGGAAGCTGTTAGCCTGGCCACAGTCTGGCAGGTGATTTATTGATTATCAAGCAGATGTACCAACAGAAACGTTGGTGCAGATACAGGTATCCTCAGGCTTGGACTTGGTTTATTTTAACACAACTTTAACGTCACTGAAGGCCTTCAGACGTCTCGCCTTCAGCAGGCTTCATTAAAAAAGCCCAATTTAAGGAATGTGACAGGAAAAGCTAACAAGGACACAAACTGTCAGAGGCTTTCGGTTACACTGCAGTGAAATGAGAAAAAAAAAACCTGCTGCACGATCAATAATCAACTGATTGTTCAAGCTGACAAATAGGAACCAGAGGAGTCTTTCTGTTCCTGTACCGAAGAAGAAGGAGGTAGTTGTTTCATTGTGACTTGGCTAAAACCACTTGAAAAGGTTTTAACTGGTTTGAACTTGTTTACATTGGTGATCGGGAGTTTACCGGAGGGTTTAAGTCGTCCTCACAAGTGTTTATTACTCCGATCTGAAAATGTTGCTGTAACATCTTGTACAAACTGCAATAAAACAGCTGCATGTGTGAAACAGTTTGATGTGTTGAGTTATTGATCGGTGATTGTGATTTCAGAAACTAAAGATCCAACAGAAGAAATATGTAACTGAACGATACGCAGCTGATCAATATTTGTGCAGCTGTGTCTTGTAGGATTCAAATGGAAGCTCTCAGCTAGAAGTGACTGCAGGCTGCACAGGTGAGTCTATCTTCAGAGTGAAAACTAACCCTGGTAATGTCCCAAAGTGGCCCCCTGGACAAAGACCCTAACCCCGGTCAGCCCTCTGTCAGTGACCCCTAACCCCAGTCAGTCCCCCACTAACCTACAGACTAAACTCAGGACTAGGAGGTGGAGTCTTTTTTACCATCAGTCCTTGTGGCTAACAGGGAGCGAGCGTCATTTGTAAGTACCCACTGGCTGTATCATGACTGCAGCCTCGTGTTTCTAGAGGGTTAGGCTTAACCCTGACTGGACAATAACATCCCAGACCCACGTGGCTCTACCCAGCTCCACTCTGGTACATGCCAACAGATACTGTAGAGTGAGTGGAAAGAGCAAAGGTGGGGATCTGGTCTTGTTTTTGGACAATAAATGGTGTAACCCCAATTATACTTTGAAGATTTGCAGTCGGTCTTTGATCTTATTTTGTGCAGAGGGAAATTTCACACATTTTCGTTGTTTACATCCCACCATGCATTGGGGCTGTAGTCGCATGTGACATCACTCACAAGACCATCACAAGGATACAGACTCAACACCCTGATGCATTCATTTTAGTATCAGGGGATTTTAACCATGCTGACCTCCTGTCTGACTGGCTTTGTACTGTATGCTGACTGTCCCACAAGGAAGCAGAAAAAATACAATCTTCTGTATGCAAACGCCAAGGAGGCCTACAGAGCCTCAGCACTTCCACCACTCGGCAGATCAGGCTGGTCTTCCTTCAGCCCCACTGCAAACCCCATGTTCTGAGGCAGCCTCCTGCTCATTCAGGAAGTGGACCCCAGAGGCCAGCGAGACTCTGAAGGATCACTTCAAATGCATGGACTGGAACATGCTGCTGCCGCCACAGGGAAGCAGTGCCCCCGTCACCTATCAACGCCCTCACAATGCCTCACCTTTTTTCTCTCACCACATCGACCAGCCTGAATCATCCCCTCCCTTCCATCACCTCCTTCACTCTGCCACAAGCTCGAAGCAGTGGGGTTGATTCCTGGCTCACCTCCTGGATTGTGGACTATCTTGAACGATGTCCCTGGGACAGTGGTGAGCAACACTGGGGCTCCTCAAGGCTCTGTTCTGGTTCCATTCCTGTTCACTCTGTACCCCACAGATCTGAGTCCTGCCACATTCAGAAATACTCTAATAAATCCAGCTAATGTGGCGTGCATCAAGCATGGGCAGGAAGGTGAGTACAGGAACCTGATGACGGCCTTCACTGACTGGACCGGTAAAAAGCAGTCTTCTGATAAACATCTCCAGGATCAAGGAGATGGTCATGGACTTCTGCAGGTCTAAGTTCCTGCTGCAGCCAGTCAGCATCAGAAGGGAGGATATTGACGTGGGGCAAACCTACAAATTCCTGGGTTTGCATCTTGACAACAAACTGAACCGGTTCACAAACACAGATGCTCTGTACCAGAAGGGGGAAGAGCCGGCTGTTCCTCCTCAGAAGACTGAGATCCTTTGACATATCCAGTGAAATGCTGCATATGTTTTACCAGTCAGTGGTAGCCATTGTTTGTTTCTGTGCTGTGGTCTGTTGGTACGGCAACATCACTGAGAGGAACACTAGGCGGCTGGACAAGCTGGTGAAGAAGGCTGGTTCTGGGCTTGGCAGGAGTTTGGACTCACTGAGGACTGCATTTGTGAGACGCATACATAGCACAGTGCAGTCCATCCTGAACAACACCAACCATCCTCTTCACAGCATCTTGGACAGAGGAGCAGCTATAGTGGTGGATGATCTCACTGCGCTGCAGGGCTCAACAGTACAGGAGATCCTTCCACATCCATCCGGCACGACAACACCTTGGTCAAGGGCACGGGCTCATGACCTGATCTGCTGGCTGCTACATTCCAGTGACTCATTTCAATCGAGCAATAAACCACTAATCCCACCAGGACCTATGTGCCACGGCCCTCCTATATACACATTATTACTACTTCTGTTTCTCACCTTGCACCTCGTAGATTGTTGTACTTTGTTGTATTCTGTACTCTCTTCACACTCTATTTATTGTATATATACCACCAGTTTGCGCCTTATTATAAACTTAACTTAACTTCTTCCATATTTCTGTAAATACTAGTATGTGCACATCTTACTGCTGTTTCTTCAACCAGCCCAATTTGCACTACAATTGCATACTCTTTGTATTTTGTTTCTTATCTATCTTGATGTTATATGTGTAAGCTCCTGGATACCTTGAATTTCCCCAAGGTGATGAATAAAGTATCTATCTATCTATCTATCTATCTATCTATCTATCTATCTATCTATCTATCTATCTATCTATCTATCTATCTATCTATCTATCTATCTATCTAACCTAGTCAAAGACCCCCTTACCCCAATCTGTCCTCTGTTATAGACCCCTAACCCTTGACCAGTCCTTCATAAAAGAGCCCTAACTCCATTAGAGACTCTTAACCCCGGTCAGTCAGCCAGAGAGTGCCAAGCCCTCCATTCCAGACCCCTCACCTGGGCAACCTCCCAACCTCAGTCAGTACCCCTTTAGAGATTCCTCTAGTGTTTCAAAGGGGCCCTCATTGGAGTGGGGAAACAGGTGAAGTTCTGTACTGATTATTATTCAGATAAACACTCTGATTTGCACTCAGGTTTGTTTTGTTAATCAGAGCAGGTGGGTGGAAGCGCACCTGCTGACACACCTGTCCTTATCAGCTGTGTGAGACTAAGAAAACACAGAGATTGACTCTGTTGTACAGTCCTCAGATTATCAATAATCACTGATTATAGAATGCTGAATCAGTGACGCTGACTCACCTGGACAGTTGAAGAGCTTCTATCATATGCAGATGTGTATGTACTTGTATAGCTATCACTGTGAGGGCATAAGACTAGTTTATGAGGGCATTTAGCTTCTCTTTGAAGATATTCCCTTCATCACAGGGCTGAGTGAGATTCACACCTGGCCTTCTGCTCAGGTGTAGGTCAGGTGAAGGTCATGGTTGGTTATTAACCATCACACACAGCGTGAGATGGTTAATAATCTGTTGGTAATCTCTGTGGACTTCAACCTGGGACACTAAAACCACAAACTCTTTATGTTCAGTATTTGCTACTGGACCGTCCACACGTCAGACCGCTGCGGTTGAAATGGAAGACAGCTGTAAGGTAAACTAAATATTAAATATTGATTGAGTGTTGGTACAGCTGTCCATTATTGTCCCTGTGAATGAGGACAGCAGGACAGCTGCAGTGTCTTTAGCTTAATGTTTAAACTGGTTACAGTGTGAAGACGAGTTGATCTCTGGTCCATTAAACTGACCTATAAACAACAAGTCTGTTAAACTGCGACACACAGGTAGAGGTGCACACCTGAACACAGTCTGATGCATTCTGTCTGTTTGAGAACAGTAACAACATGGACACTGACATTTGGAGGATGACACAGGCGTTTCTTCTTCTGCTGCTGATCTGTGCTGTGTTTTATATTGCGCTTCTTCTCTGTTTGATGATGTACCTGAATCAACAGGTGTGTCTGTCTCTCTATCCTACCAGAGTCACGATTGCCTGACACGAGGGCGGGGCCACAAGGAACACATAACTGACTTGCCAATGGGAGAAGACAGAAAAAATAAACAGCCAATGGGACCGCAGACAGCGGCATCAGACATGATTTACACCATCGAGGATGTCCCACCCTGGTACCTGTGTATTCTACTGGGACTCCAGGTAAGACCGGGACCAGACTTGAATTAGACTGGGACTGACTGAGATTAGACAAGTCTCATTCAAGTTAGACTGAGTTCAGATTACTGGTATAACTGGGCTTACGGGGTTATAAGTGGACTTACTGGTTTTGGGTTGGGATTACGGGGTAATAAATGGACTGACTGGTTTTACCCTGGGCTGCACAGTGGCTCAGTGGTTAGCACCGTCACCTCACAGCTAG